CATCAAAAACTACAAATTTACAACTTGCAACAATTTTCATCAAGTTTCTTCTAAACATTATTAGAATGTCAAAATGTACATCTGAAAAATATTTTGAAATAATAATGAATGTATAATGAATCATATATAGCAAAACTTCAAGTATGTCATCATTTTCTTAGCGATGAAACAGCGGACTACTATAGTGATAAAAGTTGGCAGAATACAGAAGCACTGAATTTTCAAATGCAAATCACATGTGGAAAACATACCCTTAACTTAAGATAAAATTAAAATACAAGCTGCTGACATAAGCAAGTATAGTCTATAAAAACATAAAAAATGAGGAGTGTACTCTTTCATTCATCCTCACCCCCAATAGCAATTCAAGCCACACTGTCATTAATGATGAGGATAGGTGTGCTCTTTGATGTAATAAACACCAAAGTGCATTTAGCCACATGAACAGCATTCCTTAACTCTAATCTGAAGAAAATAAAAGATAAAAACACAAAAGTACTCCTTCAGATTTCCTTATTAGGCTAAATTGCTAGGCTGTAATTCATTATTAGCAGCTTATTACTTAGGAACAAATATTAGAATAAATCAATTTTACATAGTTAAGAGTCAAACCAGAACTAAGAAAAAAACTTGTAGACTCAGCCTCTGTATCGAACCCTCATGTTCCCACCTGGGAAATGTAAATACAAATATTGTCTCTAGGATTATGAATAAAGCATTATGAACAAACAGTTAATAATATTTAATGAGTAGACAATGTACATTAGGAATTTCTTCTTCAGCTCACTACTGTCTTCATTACTATATCATGACTAATTTACATGGCCAACTATATACAAACAGTGGTCCTCCATGCATACTACATACATGTATATATAAACTACATACAGGTATGTATATATATATAGAAGCTACTACATCCATACTCCTATAAATAAATGCTTTACTATATACTAGCTTATTTTGCAAATATTTACAGGATGAAAGTTTGTAATTAAAGTTCCTTCAGGTCAAGTAACTACAGCTGGACAGATTACTTTGTTTACTGCCCATGCACAAATATTAATTCATATAATCTGAGCCTCCCAATCTCCTCCTTCCCTCACAAAAGCTAGACATCTAAAATCCTGGAAATCCTCAAAAAAATAAATCCCAAAGACTTAACCAGATCAGAGTGAGCTTTAGAAAAGGATGTTTGGGAGACTATGTGTGAAGAGTATCACAGAGATCAGCAAATGAGGGTTAGCAGCCAAAACTCATCACAGCTTGTTTATGTTGTTGTAAATCAAGTATTACAGGAACACCTCCATGTCCACTCATTTTCTTGGGAGACTATGGCCACTTTTTTACTAAAAGGCAAAATCTATGGTTTCAACAGAAATCTTTTAGCCCAAGAAGCCTAAAAGATTTACTATCTGGTCATTTACAGAAAACATTTGTCAATTTTTTAGAGGATCTTGAAATCAGGTCAGTTTTATTTTATAAAATAATTTCAGTGGATTGAAGAATGTCATAAGTACCAAAGGAATAAATCATACATAAGAGATCTACCTTCTTCCATTTCCCAGTATAGTGAATTCAGAGTAGCAACTCTAGAGTATTTAATTTGCTGATATAGGACTAAGACAGAGACAACTGACAAGTACATTCATTGTAATGATTCTTTTATCTAGAATACTTTCTAGACACAAGACCCAAGCTCTCTACACAAGAATGCATTCGTATTTTAAAAGACCATCTTACATTACATAGACAGTAATGATCTGATTATAGACTACTCCAACTCCATCTACCGTACTAGGGGGTTCACTTTGATCTCCAATAGGTGATATATGTAAGAAAACTTTTAAAGTGCATTTTAAATTACAACATGACAATACCTTTGAAAGAAGGACTGATTAAAGAGATCCAAATCAAGGGATAAATAAGACCAGACAAACATTAGGTTTAAGCTACTTATTTTTTCCATCTTAATCAAGAAAAATCTAATAGTAAGGAATACTTAAATTAACAATTAATTTTCTTCAGTTATACTTTATATTTTATTGGTAAAATATATATTTCTATGATCTATACACAAATATGTTGAAACTACTTAGATGAAATATAATGAAACTATTCAGGGGATTTTTAACATTTTGCACAGAAAATTTTCAAGAATTTTTAACTTTAAGAATTAACCTAGAAGGTAACAAACATACACAGGAAATTAATGTGAGTCAACTCCCTGTATAGCTATTGTTATCTCAACTAGCAAAAACCCTTGTTCCTTCCTATTATTGCTTATACTCTCTCTTCACCAAAATTAGAGATAAGGGCAAAATAGTTTCTGCCGGGTATCGAGGGGATGGGGGGGAAAGGGAGGAGGCAGAGTGGGTGGTAAGGGAGGGGGTGGGGGCAGGGGGAAGAAATGACCCAAGCATTATATGCACATATGAATAATAAAACAATAAAAATTTAAAAAAATTATTCCAAGGAAAAAAAATTTTTAACTTTAATAAGTAGAAATATTATCCCCAAATATCAAGAAAAATTGTAAAGGAGTTATCAAAACACAAGTATGACAGAAAGAAAAATATATCTTTATAGTTTGTTACTACATCCAAATTATGTAAAAAGGAACAAAAAAGAGCCCACTAAATGCCACCACATCCACTTTGATTACTTAACTTCCAACCACTACTTTATGCAAAATGAAACATTTTCCTAGTATCTCATACTCTTTGTATACAATAAATGTTTGTAATCTGAAAACATAACAGTAATATTTCACACCACTGCTTAAAAATTAGGATAAAAATTTTCCTGAATTGTCTTCAGACCAGTTTAATATAATAATCTGTTTCAAAATAAGTGGTAACACTTCAAAAGTAACTGTGTTATAAGGGCTGGTTAATTATTGTAGCTAAGGTTAAGAAGACCATTAAAAATTACAAAGAAACATTTAGTTCAGTCATACCACTGTATTTTATGAATCATCATTTCATGAATTAAATAATCTTTATAACACCATAAAATAAAACTCAAGAAATACAAGGCAAGGACATTTGATTTTATAATTATAGGAAACAATTGAAAATTTTTATTATTGCATATTAGCTATACAAAGTGAGGGGTTTCATTGTGCTATTTCTGTAAAGCATATAATGTACTTTGATCCTATTCATCCTCTTAAATTTTAGTTGAGACAATATATAGTCTTCAAACTTCTGTTATACAGTAATATTTAAATTATATTGACATAGAATCCTTCAAATCATGCCATATTTTACTGTTTCCCAGAATTATATCCACTTGTCAGCTATAAACTTGAATACTTGCTCCAGTGACTAAAGGCTCTTCCTAAACTGTTCTGCCTCACTAATGATCCAAAACTGAATTACCTGTCTTCGTGTATTAATAGAAGAAATGCATTAATAATATATAACAGATCTTAAATACTTGCTTTTATTAATACATTTATATTTTCTAAGTTCAAATGTATTCAAAAAGCCCTTATCTGTATATTGTTTCAAACAAAAAAGGACATATTTCACAGAAATTCAATAAATTTAACAAAATTCCAATAATTAAAAATGTTCACATCTTAAACACCATGGGACAGAAAGAAATGATAAAAAACAAAAAAGGATACTAAAACTGAATCCCAATTTCCATCTAATAATTTGGAATAAAAAGTCTGTCAATTGTGTTTTTCTTAGAAATAGAATATGAACACAGTAAACAAATGAAAATGATTAAAATGGGAATTAAATGTTAGTTGTTCATAAAAACAAGTACAAATAAAGCAAAGGAAGTTGTTCAATAATTGATGCAGAAAATTCAAGTGGCTTACTTAACTCTAATGAGTCAATTACAGATAAATGTAAAACCTGAGCATTTCCCACTTCAATCCTCACCTTGCCTGCAACTGAGGATTTTGTTGCAGGACATCAGTTTTCAGTTCTTCATTCAGTTCAATGCTGCCCGCCAGAGGACCCATACAAAATGGCAACAGCAGAGGGAAATGAAAAAGTGCAAAGTGAAGGAAAAGAGGAATCAAGAAACGGAGGAAAAAGGAAAATATCCCCTCTAAGATATTTACAAGTCTTCTCAGCTGCCCTCTTGGCACTGTTCTCCAAGGCAGTTTTCCCTAGAAGAAAGCCTCCAATTTTAGTCTAGACTCTCTCGCAAGGTAAGTGAGGGCCCATTCCCAACAAGCCAAGCTGGAAATCTGAATGCTTTTGTACTGAAGTCAACTCTGCTGTAAATTTGTTTCCTATCTTTTTTTTTTTTTTTGAAAAGGCTTTTTCTCTGTGAAAATATGACAAGCTGTGCAGAAAAACAAGAGATGTCAAAGACTTAGAAATTTTATATGATTTCACATTTCATGGACTATAAGCTAAGAGTCCTTGCTCTATGGTATTAGCAGGGAAGATTTTTAGTGAGATTAAATACCAAACTGACTTGCCCTGCCAGCCCAAGATCAAAGCCCATGTAATATTTCTTCTAAGGGGAAGTAGGCATTCAAAATGATGGCTCCATAAAACAAGTTTCTCAAACCAAATCCCACATTGATATACCAACATATTTCTGTAAGAATTTCTTCTGGATACATTACAAAGTAATTGAATACAAATTATGGTACAAATAAAGAGGATAGAACTACAACATTACTATCCAAAAGATTTAAAACCAGTTCCAGAAAAGTACTGTGATCACAAGTATCTTTCTATTTTATGTCCAGAAAAAGATACTTATCTGTGCAATGAATGGAACATTGCTAATAAAATGAGTAGCACAAAATTACTAAATAAATGTTATTTATAATTTACCGTAGAATTACATGGATAAAAAATAGCATAATGTTAAGTTTTTCTCATTTTATAGCACATGAATTTTTGCTGCATTCAACTGAGTAAAAGAGTATCAATAAGAAACTAAGTGTTCAAGAACAGACATATTTCACTTATCTATTTATTAAGCACATCAAACCAAAACTACAAGATATGAATACTTACTTATCAAAGCTATCACTATTTTTGATGAAGCTCTCCAGCTTTTCCTTGGCATATTCCACCACATCTGAATGAAGCTCAATTCCATGATTTATTCCAAAAGGACCTGCAATCGTAGCAGCATTTTTATAAAAGTATTAATGGTGCCCTTGTATGAGCTCTTCTAATTTCTGCTTGGTTATCTATCATAGAAGTACTTAAAGAGGGCTGGAAATATGGAAACATCTGCTAGCTATGGATTGTAAAGTTGGTGGAAGTCTACTTATATTGTTTTAATGTTAAGAAAGGGAAAACACAAAACTGAAAACGGTTCACCTGCATTTTATCTTTTTTTAAAAAAAAGCTATTGTATAAAAGATTGAAGGTTTCCAAAGAGAGTCAAAAAAGAATCATATACCACATGAAATTTAAGTGTTTTTGTTTTTTTTTCCTTTGGAAGCACTAGGGTTTGAACTCAGGGTCTTACACTTGCTGCGCAGGCGCTCTACTGCATGAGCCATTCCACCAGCCCTAAGTTCTTTGTCATTATTTTCATTTATTACTTGCTCATAGTTTGGTAATCCTCAGATGCCTAAAATCATGGGCTGAGGTAGAAACCATAAAAATGTTTCAGAACATCCTTTCAGCAGGTAAATGCTAAATTCTTCCAGGGTCAAGGCTGCATCCTGTGCATTTTGGAGTTTCCCATATCTAACAGACTGTGACCACCAGCCACTCACTGCAGAACCAGTGCTCCAGCATACTTCCCATTCCCACAGGGTATTTCTTTTTATATGTGACCACGGATGGAGTGGCCTCTCAGGACAAGGGCAAGAGAGGAGGGTTTTCCTGGCCCCCTCTGACCACCATTTGGTATCGGCATGGTACTTTCCCCACTCTGGTACCTGCTCACTGAGAATATAAGGACTCACCATATCCTAGGCCTTCCTACAACCTGCCTGTGCTCCACATAAAAATAACACATGCACATCTAGTTATGCTAGATCCTTTTCAACTTCTAAAATTGAGCCAAATGGATTTTTTTTTTCACTGTAATTTGATATCGGGCTCCTAGAAAAGTGTGTATGCCTTACCTATTTTCTGTATCTTTAGGAAATACTTGACTGGGGGTGCCCCCTACTAAATGACATTAAAAATACAGTGCATATTGGAGTTGTTTCTACTAACTACTAATAAAGTAACAAAAAAAAAGTCACAAATTCTCATGTTTGGATGTTCAAAAGGTAGATGGAAAAGGAAACAGCCATGCAGGAAATACCCAACTATGAAAATTTAAACAAAATGTTCAGATACAATCTTCAACCCAAATTAGATAAGGATATACTTTAAACTACTATGCTGCCATAACTTTCTATTTGGTCTTATTTTTTGTGAGTTTAAAAATATATTCAGACTAGAAGATTAAACAAACAGGTATTTGATTCATCAAATCACAAGGATAATTAGCTTCCTCTGAAATGTTTTAATATTTTAAAAATGAAACAATCTTAAATGTGTTGGGTTTTGGGGGGGGGGTTTGTTTTGTTTTGTTTTGTGGTACTGGGGCTTGAACTCAGAGCCTCACATTTGCTAGACAGGCACCCTAACACTTGGGCCACTAACTCCACCTTCCCAGTGTGCTTCTTTTTTGTTACCTGACTTACAAACTGGTAAGCCTTCATAAGAAAACTGGAACAACAGTCCAAAATCATGTAAGACCTCATATAATTCCTTATTACTAGTACAGATAAACAACATAACTAAATATTCACTTAAAAGAAGTACCAAATATATTAAACTTAGAAAAACATACATACTGTTTAAGATGATATTGAATCTGAGTATTCTGGAAACTTGAATTTCCATAGGGGTCAGCACATACAATGTTAGAAAAAATACCAAAATTTTCCTCATTTAAAAAAGTTCAAAATAAACTAAATCACTTAAAAACAAGAACACAGTAGGAAAATACTGTTCTATGAAATGAATCTGATTTTCTTTTATCCTTTTAAGGTATTCCACTGAATGTCAAATGTAACAGAGACTTTTATATTTTCATTATCCATTAATAATTTAGTTATACTATCAACCATTTTTATAAAAAAAAAAGAAGCCAGGCACAGGCGGCTCACATCTGTATTCCTGAGTCGGAGGTCAGGAGGATCATGGTTCAAGGACAGCCTGGGCAAATAGTTCTCAAGTCCCTATCTCGAAACTAACCAACACAAAAAAGAAGGCTGGCAGAGTGACTCAAGTGGTAGAGTCCCTGCCTAAGCAAGTGTGAGGCCCTGAGGTCAAACCCCAGTACCACCCCCACACACACCAAAAAAAAAAAAAAAAAATTAGGGCTTCATAGGCAGATCAATAAGAAAGGTCAATATTGCTAGCATTTCATAATTCCTCGAGGTCCAAATACACCAAGTAAGAACCTGAACCATCAAGGCTTCCATCCCGTATTTCAAACAGCCTTATTTACAGTGGGCATCTGATGAATCTCAGAGTTCCAGATCAAATGGAACCAGACAGGCTATTCCTCACTCAAAGATGCCACTGGTCTCTTTTTCCTGTTTATTGTATAAAGTGTCAACTTTTAGAAATAAGGTTTAAAGTTTAAGAAAATTCTTAATGCTTTTTCACATAACTTGTTTTATCGTATCTCCTTGACACAAGATGGTTAATAACAAAAGATAAAAAATTTCAGTAACATCAGGTAGAAAGATCACAAGTTTCAGGCTGGCTGGGGCTAAATAGCAAGACTTTGACTCCAAAAAATTTTTTTCAGTAATACACAAAGGACTTGTTTCATAAACAATATAAACAGACAAAGAGAACACATTATTATGTAGTGTACATTATCATTTATGTTTTCTTAAATGGATGGAATTATTTAATTTTAAAATAACATGGAGGAATATCTTTAATTACCATTAATTACTTAATAATGTGGACTCATTTAACATGTTGAAAATAAATTAAAAATATAAAGTGCATTAATAAAAGGCAGAATTTAAATAGCAATGTCACTAGTATCTCATTTATTTAGAATATGATATACAACTAGAACACATCAAGTGTACCATAAAATATAGTGCAGTGTTGATTATTACAACTCAAATTTGACATGTGAATAAAATAGAACAATAAGAACATAAGACACAGAAAACTGAAAAAGCATACATAGCTGCTTCTGAAGAAGGGGAGTGAGCAGTCTACAGTGGAAAAGAACATTTTTATCATTGTACACTACCAGAAGTACGTTGTAACCATATGCAATCAAAAATCAATAGGCTACTGAAAATGAAAAAGAGCATGAATATTTAGATAGACAAAGTAAACAAGCTGAAAAGTATAAATTGTCCACGGAAAAAAATGAAACAGTATTCAAAAAATGACGTTAACACGTCAGATGAAGCAGAAATTTGACTTTGTATTCAACAGAATCCAATGTTATTTTATATTCACCAATGAAGATTTTTCTATGAAATAATAAAAGTTTAGTTTTTATACCATGTACTTTAAAGAAGAAAATGCTAATGGTTAAACCGTTAACAGCTAAACATTACAGAGAAAACAGAAACAAAGAAGTTAATGTTTATTAAAACAAATACAGTTATTAAGAAAGCCTACTTATTGTGAGCAATAAATATAATAAAGTCTAGAGACTTTATCTTTTGTAATAATTGAATCTAATCTAGCTTCTTTATTCACCAGTCAGCAACTAAAGCTTACATATAAAGGACAGTAACTAGTAGGCTCACTTATAAATTGTTTATGTAATTAACAGTATTTACTTATATTTACATCAACTTCATGTGACATCCAACAGTTTGACAATGTGACATGGATGGATGAAGCCTCCTGGCACAGACTAAGAAAACCTGAAAGCTTCACAGTATACCTGAATGCAATTCCCTATGCCTTTAATATTTTGTGTAAAGCTAATTCATAGAACACAGGCAACATAACTGGAAGAACTCAGAAGAGAAAATAATTCAAGATCTATTATTTTAGTTGAGGGCTCTAAAGCCAAAACACTATGATGTGTGGTAAGAAGGAGGATCTAAGGTGAGATGTCCTAATTTCCAATCCTGTTTCTCCCTCTTTACTGGCATAATCTAAGACTAATAGGTCCCTGTCTGAAAACTTTCTTACTATAAAAGGAACCCTTGAGAAGACCACATGTATTATGTAAAAGTGTTTCATGCAATAATGAGTATAAGAAAGGTAACAAACTATTGTTAGAAATGATGATGTGCCCTCTCCCCACAAAAAGAACTGGTTATTTACAGGTTAAACTTTTATCTGATCAAAACTATCAATGTCTGGGTCCTATTGCAGATGGGCTAAAGGAAATCTCTGGGGTGTGGCCCAGGCACAAGAAGGTAAATCCACCCTGAGCTGAGGTTCACAGCATTACCACAGCCTCCTAATTATTATGCAAAAAGTCAAGCTAAATGATTTTTAAAATCTGTTTTTGAGTATCCAAATCTCTGTTGTCACTGGTAAAGTAATTTCTACAGTTAGCCTATATATAAGTTAGCAGCACTTTGTCTAACCTTAAGTATTTACCACAAGGGGGAGTAGGTGAATCAGTTATTTATTGTCTATGAAACTAGTATAAAACCAATGGGATTAAAACATACATGTAAAAACATCTTTCAATAAACTTCAATGATACTTTATTACTTTTTAGTCATATACAACAGGTTTCTTTTGGAATATTTTTAAGTAACAAAGTATTCATGGACAATAATGGATAAAAAGCAGACAAATTTCATTCTTTCCATGAATACCCTGTAGTATAATGGAGAACATAAAATAGTTCAAAGATAGACAAAGGAAAGAAAAAAAAATCAGCAAAAAGCTAAGCAATTATTAACTAGGCAATTGAGAGAAATTGCTATAATGCATTGCCACTTATTAAAATACATTTAATTTCGTACGGCTTCCCACATTCTATATAACACTGAAAAAAAGCAGACAAATTATCGGGCCAGGAGTGGTGGCTCACATCTGTAATTTCAGTCACCTGAGAGGTAGAGATAGGAGAATGGCAGTCCCAGGCCAGAGTCAAAAGCAGGAGATCGAAAAAATAAGCTACAGCAGAAAATGGGTGGGGGCATGGCT